TTTATGTCACTTGCTGTTTAATCATGGAGAGCTGTATCTCATGATGTCCAGAAAAACCAGTCCCATTCCAGAAATTATCACTCCCATCTTCCCTGGAAATGTGTATCCTAGTTTTATAGACTCTGTAGCCAAACATTATAGCAAAACTGAGTTACAATTTTCTCCTGCTTTCCCTGAAGAACAGCCCTGAGGGATTTTGTTTTATTTTGTTTTTAGGTTGTTTTTTTTTTTTTTTTTTTTTTTGAGGCGGAAATATTATTTTTTTTTTTTTTTTTTTTTGGTTTTTTTTTTTTTTTTTTTTTTTTGAGACACAGTTTTGCTCTTGTTGCCCAGGCTGGAGTGCAGTGATGCGATCTCACTGCAATCTCCACCTCCCAGGTTCTAGCAATTCTGGTGACTCAGCCTCCTGAGTAGTTGGGATTACAGGCACGTGCCACCACACCTGGCTAATTTTTCTATTTTCAGTAGAGACAGGGTTTCACCACCTTGGCCAGTCCGATCTTGAATTTCTGACTTCATGATCCACCCGCCTTGGCCTCCCAAAGTACCAGAATTACAAGCATGAGCCACTGCGCCCGGCCATCTCTTTTCCATCAGTGGAAACATGTCTGTTGTACTGGAACAGGAATTTAAAGAAATTAAAGAATGTGTAAGCAGACACTCAGTTGTATGTAAGAAAACCCAATTCACCCTGAGAAAGAAAGAGCTGAAGTCCTTTAAAAATTAGCTGCCTGTTTTTCTGTGGCTAGCGAGCCTTATCTCTGCTCCTTTCCCAGGCATTGTGAAGACCCTGATTCCCTAGCTGTGCAGCTGCAAGGTCACTAGACAGAGAAACTCAAGTCATAAAACATGTTTTTCCTTGAAAAGTAAGAAATGATGTAATGCATGTCTCAATTAATTAAATAACTGTCTTGTTTCTTGCTTCTGTAATATGCTTCCCCTGCACAGATCTCCCCCTACCCCATGAAATGCTTTTTTATTTGTTTTTTTATTTTTTTCGAGACAGAGTCTCACTCTGTGGCCCAGGCTGGAGTGCAGTGGTGCGATCTCAGCTCACTGCAACCTCCACCTCCTGGGTTCAAGCAATTCTCTGCCTCAGCCTCCTGAGTATCTGGGATTACAGGGCCCACCACCATGCCCGGCTAATTTTTGTATTTCTAGTAGAGACAGGGTTTCACCATCCTGGCCAGGCTTGTCTTGAACTCCTGACCTCAGGTGATCCACCTGCCTTGGCCTCCCAAAGTGCTAGGATTACAGGCGTGAGCCACCGTGCCTGGCCTACAAAATGCTTAAAAGGTAACTTAACTCTATATTCAGGGCTCAGTCCTTTGGTTGTTAAGCTGACTGGGCCGGCGCACCTAAATAATAAATATTCTCCTCAGTCCCTTCGGTCTCTCTGATTCCTCATCAATACCACTACATTGCCTTATACATTTCCTTATACCTTTCCTTATAAAAAAACATACTCGGGCGGACACGGTGGCTCACACCTGTAATCCCAGCATTTTGGGAGGCCAAGGTGGGCAGATCACGAGGTCAGGAGATCAAGATCATCCAGGCTAACATGGTGAAACCCTTTCTCTACTAAAAAAAAAAAAAAACCAAAAAATTAGCCAGGCATGGTGGCAGGCACTTGCAGTCCCAGACACTCAGGAGGCTAAGGCAGAGAGACCCTGTTAAGAGGGTCTCTCTGTTAAGAGGTCCACTGTTAAGAGACCCTGGCTTAAGCAGAGAGAAGTCTCCTTCTGCAAATACTAATGCCACTGGAAAATGAATACTTTCCCCTACCTTTTGGAAAAGAGAATACATAGAAATTGGCAACTGAGAGATTCAGATGGGTATACTGGCACTTTTAGATATGTTCATTTTAGATGATTATTTTTAATCAGAAATCTAGTGACTGGCCTCCCTCTTTGGGGTAAATCACTCTCTCAACACAGAACATTTAAGACATTTGGCAACTTAGTTGATTTTAGAATTGGATAACATTCTCAAATAATTTTACATTTTTTAAAATAGGGAAATTCAAATATAGGGTTACTGGTTTTCCTTATTTTACAGATGGGGTTGAGGATTTGGTCTTTTGGATTCCATTTTTGGAAAGGATGGTGTATTAAACCAGCCAAACAGTGTCTTAGGACTTATATTTTATATACTACAGCTATTACTTGGTAAGTATTTATCAATACAAAAATAAGTTTGTTATATTCCATTTACCACTTTGTGTCTTTGCCTTGAAGTGTCTTGATGTTAAATAAAAGCATGTGTTATTTATAGAGCCACTAGCATGTACAACATCTTTGTATTGTGAAAACTTGATTCGCTAAGATTTTATTATATTAATGTTGAATTTATGTCACTTGCTGTTTAATCATGGAGAGCTGTATCTCATGATGTCCAGAAAAACCAGTCCCATTCCAGAAATTATCACTCCCATCTTCCCTGTAAATGTGTTTCCTAGTTTTATAGACTCTGTAGCCTTGTAAAGATATCATATATTAAGGGGACATTAATGAGAAACCATATTCATAATCCCATGACCTTTACATATCCACTATTTCTACAGTCTTCTGCTTTTAAACATAATTTTGGGGCTGGACGTGGTGGCTCATGCCTGTAATCCCAGCACTTTGGGAGGCCGAGGTGGGTGGATCACCTGAGGCTGGGAGTTTGAGGCCAGCCTGACCAACATAAGGAAAACCCCTCTGTACTAAAAATAGTGAAAGAGTGGCTTGCCCCTCCACACCTGTGGGTATTTCTCATCAGGTGGGACAAGAGACTGAGAAAAGAAATAAGACACAGAGACAAAGTATAGAGAAAAAAAAGTGGGCCCAGGGGACTGGCATTCCGCATATGGAGGACCCGCACCAGCACCAGTCTCTGAGTTTTCTTAGTATTTATTGATTATTATTTTTAATATTTTAGTAAGAGGAATGTGGCAGGAGAGCAGGGTGATAGCGGGATGTCTGGATGTGTATGTAGGCAAGATTTATGTTTCTCTCCACCCAGACATCTCGGTGGAGTAAAGAATGACAAAGCAGCATTGCTGCCAACATGTCCCGCCTCCTGCCACAGAGGGGTTTTTCTCCCGTCTCAGAATTGAACAGATGTACAATCGAGTTTTATACCAAGACATTCCATTCCCTGGGGCAGGCAGGAGACAGAGGCCTTCCTCTCATTTCAACTGGAAGAGGCTTTCCTCTTTTACTAATCCTCCTCAGCACAGACCCTTCCCGAGTGTCAGGCTAGGGGACGGTCAGGCCTTCTAATCCCACGAGGCCATATTTCAGACTATCACATGGGGAATAACCTTGGACAATACCTGGCTGTCCAGGGCAGAGGTCCCTGCGGCTCTCCGCAGTGCATTGTGCCCCTGGTTTGTCAAGACTGGAGAATGGCGATGACTTTTACCAAGCATACTGCCTGTAAACATTTTGTTAACAAGGCACATCCTGCACAGCCCTAGATCCCTTAAACCTTGATTCCATACAACACATGTTTCTGTGATCTCAAGGTTGGGGCAAAGTTACAGATGAACAGCATCTCAGGCAAAGCAATTGTTCAGGGTACAGGTCAAAATGGAGTTTCTTATGTCTTCCTTTTCTACACAGACACAATAACAGTCTGATCTCTCTTTCTTTTCCCTATGTATCCCCCTTTTGTTTTTTACAAAATCGCCATCGTCATTATGGCCCGTTTTTGCTGGTTGTTGTCTTTTTGGAGTTGTTGGGTACACCTGTAGACTAAAACAGACAGAACAGGCATACAAGGATTAATAAAAAATTTACAATAGTGGAACTTTTGATAGTTTTAACCCAAGTGATGGGATTAAGGTCTGTGAGGCCATCAGCAGCTTTTACAATTGTCTCAGTTTTTGGTACCAAATGTAAATGGGCTTTTGATGCCTTAAAAAATTTGTTTTTTAATTTTGAAATATTTAAAGTAAGATTATTTTTTCTTTTTTGTAGATGGCATTTAACCGTGTCCCAGTGATGTTCAGACTCATCATAGGCTCGGGGTGTAATACAAAAATTTGACGTATTTCAGTCACAGTGTAACTGAAAAAGATGTTTCAAGCTCATGAGCCTATCTCTCATTTAAATGACAGCTTGTCTTAGATGATTAATTTGGTTTGCCAATTTTTGATCTATTTGGGTCTGAGAATTCCACTATCTTGAGGAATTCTTTTGTCAGTTATTTACGTATTTAGCAGTTTGAACAGAGGAGTGTAAAGCAATTCCAGCAACCGCAGCAGTAGCTGTGACTGCAATAAGACCCGTAATCCCTGTCATTAAAGTAAAAATGAATCTTTTGGATCTTGTTAGAACTTTTTTTAATACTTTTGTTAAAATATGGACGGATGGGGAAGCCTCTCATGGTCAGTCTACGGACACAGGGATCCACACGCCCTTTCTTGCCCTCACTAGTAGAATACAATGCTGCCAATTAAAAGTTGAATCAATGCAAGTAAATAATCTAAAATTTTCACAGGTTATAGCTTGGGAATCTAGTTTAATAACTATGTGTTTTACAACTAGTATATAAGGGGGTTTTACACAACTTTGTAAAGGAATTGTTAGATTGGAATTTAGGTTGATAGTATAATATGGCTTGTAATTTTTTATTTTTATAGCTTGATTTCCAGACCAAATTTTAATGTGGTGCGAGGCCACAGTAAGTTTTTATAATTTTGGATGTTTAGGACTAGTAACAGGACTAACTAACTTTGGTTGAGGTGATGAAATTCTCTTTTTACCACATTTTTATGGATAGGGTGGTTTTGACCTTTTATAAACCTGGTCTTCTCTTTTAGTTAAATCACTCTTATAGGTCGGATTAATGGGCCAGACGGATGGGGCCTGTGAACATGAGTCTGGCCCTTACAATTATAATATAATTGTCCTCAAGGGGCCCAGTTTATGATAGTTTTGAATTTGTTGTTTTGTAATACCACCGCAGTATCAGTCACACAGTTTTTCGAAACCAAGACTTTTGGGCCTTTTGATTTTTGGGGAATTTCTTTGGGGCAAGGCTACCCTTTAGGCCTAAATTTTAATGCTCTTTGATAAGAAGAGTCCTGTGAATTATTTATCTGTGGCTCAAGTGACATTTCACTTACCATGTGATAAGTAAATCTCCTGGTGCCACTGACAGTATGTATTTCTACCCACCAATTTTGGGTTGTAGGCATTAAGCATCCATTAAGCATTTCTAGGCAAGTAGCGGGATAGTAATACCCAATGGAAATATTTATTTATTTTTTTTAGGTTGGGCAGGGCAACGATCATCTGTGGGTCCTGGTACCCATGCACTATTATTAACATATATTTTAATAGGATTATTTATCCATGTGACTGCCCAAATTAAGGGCAGGAAAGGCACATAGGCCCAGTAAGTATAATTAGCTGCAGCTGTTTCTGCAGACATGTGGAGACTTACCACCGTTGATACAATTATCAAAGCTGTAAGCAGTATATAGTCTGGAGTTTGTGTTACCCTTGTTTTTTTTAGGCTTTGTTTTTTAGCTAACTGTGTCAGCTTCTTTAGTTGACCCCAGGTCGGCGGTTCCACTTTTTTGGCGGATGGTAGCTTTATCTGTTTTTTTGATATTGCAATTTTGTTTACTTGGCAAGTTGATGATGCTTGATTGTGGGTTTTTCATTTTTGCAGAGGGGTTTTTTTTTTTTTTTCAGCTTTGATGGGCTTATTGTAGATAAATGTCTAGTGGGTATTCATAGAGGAAGCTGATTTTTTTCCAGCGAAACACAAGTAAAGCCTCTTCACCATGTTATTAACTTTTTCATTTTTTATGTCTTATTTTTGTTGTTTTTTCACCAAATCAGTTTTGTTTTGTTTTGTTTTGTTTTTCAGTAAAATGTTGTTTTGCAGAAGTAGTGGTCTGATTTTTATCAATGTTTAAAAAATTTAAAGTATAGAGTGCTAGATTAAGTTTTATTTGGGGAGTGTTATATTCCTATTTTTTGTTTGTTTGTTTAACTAATTGATCTTTGAGTGTTCTATTAGTTCTTTTAATTATAGCCTGTCCTTGGGAATTATAAGGGATTCCTGTTGTATGTGTAATTTTTCACTGATTTAGGAATTTTTGAAATGTTTTACTACAGTATGCTGGCCCATTATCTGTTTTAAATTTTTTTTGGAACTTCTATGATAGTAAAACAAGATAATAAATGTTTTTTAACATACGAAGTACTTTGTTTTTTTGTCTAACAGGTTGTTCATACAAAATGTGAATAAGTATCAACTGTCACATGGACAAATGACAGTTTTTCAAATGAAGGTACCTGTGTGACATCCATTTGCCATAATGTATTAGGACATAGACCTCTGGGATTAACTCCTGCCTCTTGAGTGGGCAGGTGTAGGACTTGACACTGAGTGCAATATTGTACAATATTTTTTTGCCTGTTTCTATGTGTTATCAAATATATTTTTTAGTCCTGTTGTATTTACATGAGTTAAGCATGAAGTTCTTGTGCTTTTATGAAGGCAGATGATACTAGCATGTCAGCTTGTTTGTTTCAGTTAAAGGCCCTGGTAAATTAGTATGTGCTCGAATATCAATAATATAAAATGGGAAATTTCTTTTTTTACAGTTTGTTGTAACAAATTAGACAGCTGGTTTAACTGATCATCCATACTATATTTGATTAGGGCTGTCTCAATATCCTTTGTAGCCTGTAATACATATCAGAATCTGATACAGTGTTAATAGGCTGATTAAAATCTTGTAACACTGAAATGACAGCAACCAACTCTGCTCTTTCAGTTGAGTGACATTAAATTTCAGTGACTCGTTCTTTTGGCTTGGTGTAAGCCACTTTTCCATTGCTAGAACCATCAGTAAACACCATCAGAGCACTTTTTAAAGGTTTATATCTGGTAATTTTATGTAAAACCCAAGTAGTCAATTTTAAAAACTGGAAGATTTTTGTTTTTGGGTAATGATTATCAATAATTTCCACAAAATTAGTAAGATCAATCTGTCAAGTACCAGAATTGATAAAGGCTTGTTTAACCTGTTCCTTGTTTAAAGGAACAATGATTTTATCTGGTCACTTCCATACAATTTTACTATCTATAATCTTGCCCAACCAATTAATGTAGCCATTTGATCTAAATACAATGTAAAAGTCTTAATTGTACTGTGAGG